GCAGCCTCGCACTAGATATGAGCAGCTGGTAAGGTTGAGAGGACTTGAATATAGAAGGTCTGGGAATATAGGCGTAAGCTTCAAGGGATCGCTTTCATCGCCTGATAATTATAGTTAGAGCAAATTCCCGAATATATAGCTATATATATGAATCTATATCTTATCTGACTAGTTAAGATCTTATGAATATAGATTTGATCCAGAGATTTTCAATCTCGATATAATATCTCAAGAAAAACGACGCGGCCGTTTGCGGCCAGCTCGCCTCTGAAACGCATCCTACGGATTCTCTACAGGCTGTATTTAGAATTCCCAGGATTTTAAGTTTTTTCGTATAAGTTAAGGGTTCTGCATTCTCCGAGATTTTTGGTCTGGGCAGGCTAATAATTCTAGTCGCTTCGTTAATATCATATGGATTGGAATGATTCTTCTATTTATATTATGTGATATAGATTTATGGCAGATATATATTATTCATATATAATATCGCATTAAATTTCAATTCGTAATTATTTCTTTTTATATTAAAGATATAATAATATCATAGCAATATAGAAATTTTATATTGATTTTAAAATGATATAGGATATGATGTCGATCGTTTTTATTTTTGATTTTATAAATTCATATAATAGGAAGAGAGATGATTTTATTGATAATGAAATTTGTTATATTTGAATTTGAAAGCAAGCATTCTATATATTTCGAGCTTATATCATTTTTACGAATTTCTCTATTTGATAATATATTTCGATAAAGATCCTTGCTTTCTCATTTTATACTGATTTCTTATATATATTAGAATTGAATCGTTGCTTATAATAATGATAGATATTTATCTGAATAATTTTATAATGCGAGCTCTCTTTCTAATACGGTCTTGCTGTCTTATTTATCTTTCTTGGGCTACTTGTGCGGCGGCTCGCGGAGCGTATAAATCGGCTCGGCTTGAAGACATCTTGGTTCTACGTATTCTTCCGAAAAGTCGTATCGATAATCAAAGAGAGATGAATCACGCCGCGGAACGCCTTAGCTCGTATAATAATCTTGATGAATAAGCCATAATATTATGATTTTCATTTTTTTATAATCAATATATAAGATTTTAGATCTCCGTCAGGGTCTGTGCGCAGATAGCCGAGGAGATTTCGAGTCGCGCGGCCCCGCATCCGGCCCAGTTTTTCCGTCTCATTTTATCTTTCTTGAGCTATCTCTGGGGGGGGGGTGGAGCGCATATCTCTTTGCGGGCAGATACGGCCAATCTAAAAATCCTAAGAGTTTTTGGTTCTCCGTCCCGGATCTATGCTCTCCGCCGAGTAGCCGCGCAGACGGAAAATCGCTCCGGAGGCAAGGGCCGTGCGACCAAAAGCCTCGAAGATTTTAGAGTCTCTAGTTTTTCCGAAGAAATCTAAAATCTACGAGATTTAGTACTTTCTAGGGAGTCCGTAGGAGGAATTTTAAAGACGAATCGGAAAATCTAGGGCACGCGCGAGCGAAATATTCATAAGAGCTCGCGCCATAATATTGAGGTATTTATGATAAATTATAAGGACGTATTATACTAATATTCCCAGATTTTAGGAAGATGAATATTAAAATATAGGTTGAGAATTTCTTATAATAAGGTAATTATATTCAATCAAATAATCGATTATTAAATCGATTTTCTTCTATTTCAAATAATCTATCAATTTAGAATTCTCGAGAAATCTGAATTTGAATTAATGAATTTATTCTTATTTTTTCTATATTTTTAATGAAATGAATTTCATTATTCATCTCTCTCTTATTTTCAATTATTTTTCAATATAACCTCAAATAATTCAAAAATTATTTTCTAATATCTCTATTAAAGAAGATGTAGATAGAATCTTATTTCAAATTATATATTCATTCTTATTTCATATTCATAAAATAAGAAATTTTCAGCTCGTAAATTCTATATATATAATTAATGAATTTTATCAAAATCTATTAAATGAGGAAATATATCAAATTCAAAAGATTTAATAATTTTCAGAATCATTGGATTAATAATTTGAATTATTAGTTTTAAAGAATCATTTAGAAAAAATATTTGATTTTTTTTATATTCATTTAGAATTGTTAATAATAATTTTTCTGAAGATAATTGAAATTCTATTTATTTATTAATGAAATCTAATCTTCTATTGAATTCTGTAATCATATTTAGAATAATCTTTATTTCGCTAATAATCTATATCTTTAGATATTTCTTTATCTTTTTAGATTATCTATATCTCTTAAATTATTTAGCATTTATTCTGAAAAATATTTTTGATTTCATTTCTCTTCCGTTTCTACGTATTTTATTACGTGGTCTTCCAAAATATTTGGATTTTTTGGAATATTGATTTCTAATAAAAATGATGAATTTATGAAATTGCCGCCTCTTCGCGGATTATCTAGATCATTTATCTAAAATATCCCGGATATATTGGAGATCGTTATTCAGAAATATTTATCTCAATATTACGGCACGACCTCTCGCAGTCATTTCGCTCGTGCGCGATCTAGGTTCTCCGGCTCACCTTTAAAATTCCTCCTGTGGGCTCCCTAGGGGCTCTAAAATCTCGGAGATTTTAGAGCTCTTCGGAAAAGCTAGAGGCTCTAAAATTTTCGAGATTTTTGGTGCGGACGGCGCGACCAAAAATCTCGGAGATTTTTGGTCGCGCGGTCCCTGCTCCGGAGTGGTTTTCCGCGTAATTTATTTCTCTTTGGCTGTCTGCGCGGTTGCGCGGCTGCTCGGCGGAGAGCATAGATCCGGGACGGAGAACCAAAATCTTTTAGAATTTATAGATTGGCCGTATCTGCCCACAAGGAGATATGCGCTCGCCCCCGCCGCGCAGATAGACCCTGGGCGGAGATCCAAAATCTTTCAGAATCCATTAGGTTGGCCGTTTTTCGTCACGTGCGATCTTATATATTGATTATTCGTCGAGATTCACGATCTTATGCGTTCCGCGTGATTTATCTCTGTTTGATTGTCGGCGCGGCTGTTCGGAGGAGCGCGTAGACCCAGGACGGAGATTCAAAATCTTTCAGAATTTACAGGTTGGCCGTGTCTGTTTATGGAGATTTATGCGCTCCCGCGAGCCGCCGCACAGATAGCCCAAGAGAGATAAGTGAGGCGGAAAGACCGGGCTGGATGCGGTGGCCGCACGATCAAAGGGCCGCGTGACCAAAACATTCCAAAGATTTCGATCAATTTCTCTCTCTTTGGCTGTCTGCGCGGCGGCTAGAGATAAATCACACAAAAAACAACTCCGGAGGCAATGGCCGCACGACCAAAAATCTCGTTTTTTTGTTGCGCCTCCCGCGCCAAAAATCTCGGAGATTATAGAGCCTCTAGCTTTTCCGGAGGGATCTAGGTCACGGGAGACATTTTAAAGGCGAGCCGGAAAACCTAGACCGCGCGCGAGCGAAATGACCGCAAGTGGCCGCGCCGTAAGATTGAGGTATTTTTCTATACTATATATCTCATAAAGTCCTATAAATGAGGGGACCAAAATCCTAAAATTGATTAAGGGGGAAAGGGGGTTCCGTTATCTGATAAAGAATGATATCGTGTTTCGAGTCTGTGTAATTTGGATGATTTTCAATTGTGCCTTCAATCATATCTCGACGCATCGTTTGCACGATCCATGACAAAGAATGAGGCATCAGGCATCACGTCCCATTGCGCCTGCCTGCATCCCGCGGGCAGGTCGAAAATAGGAAGCTGTCAAATACAAGTACCAGACTCCGCAAGACAATTTGCGAAAGAGGGCACCAAGTGCCACAAGCACTTTGTTTCGGAGGAAAGAAAGATTTACGTCTATTTAGCAAGGCCTTCGGGGCTTGCGTCCTCAAGCGTGTGGAGCTCATAGCCTGGGAAACCCGATGAACTTCCGCAGACTACAAAGACTAGTGTGGTTTGTTTGGGAATGGGTAAACCTAAACCCAATGACAGCTCCTCCTGCCTTGTTGGAACTTGACTCTAGCTTTAACAATGCGGGGTCTGCTTAGGGCAAGGGAGACCGTAGCTCTGTATCCAAAGGCTTCACACTGGCTTCACAAGACTTTCAAAGTGCTAGTGACAGCTAGTGTCAACGAAGCACAACAGTGTGCCCACTTAGCGGCCAAACCCGGCCACAGGCAAAAATCGTCTGCGAAGTCGGATCCAAAGCCAGGCCATTCAGAGGGCATCTGACTACGTCAGAGGCGCTCAAAGAAAACTGTGCATTGACACACGAGCCCTGGGGAAGTCAAGAGGCTTGAAATCTAGGATCAGAACTGGCAGCTTTTGGTGTGAAACTTTCATGTTTTGGAAGAACTGATTCTGGTCTGAAATCGGGGCACGGAGTAGGCCTGATACACTGTGAACCAGACTTAAGCAATGCTTTGGTAGGGATCTTGCAGCTGTGATTCAACAACATTGGCCGAGGATTATGTTAACAAGGAATGCCCACACTTCCATCCTGCCGACTAGCACTCAACGAGACCCTTGGGATCCAGTCCCCGGAGTTTCTGCTTCGCTCTCCAAACCTCCCCGTGCTCATGCTGTGGAGAAGATTCCCTCGCGCATGCAACATACACAAGGAACTTAAAAGCAGTACACAGGGGATAGAATTCGCGCCAGCCAACCCCTCTGTCGTGCAAATGCAAGCAGCAAGGCTGCTATATGACTGAAGAAATTTGGAGATCTTAAATCCTAAAGTTCTCTGGGGTTCCCAGCTTTGGATGTGATTCTGCTGTTGCCTGGCCCCAAGCGAGGCCATGCGGTGCCAGCAGCTCCCCTGTAAGGCGAAACCGCAAAACGGCTCCTCACCTGGAAAAGCACCAACTCTGCATGTAGCAGTGTAGCAATAGTCATGGATTGGATTGACTGATAGCCATGTACAGCCACCGCCTCATAGTCCTGCACGCACACGCGGCAGGAGGGTGCGAAAGAGGCATCGCAATCAAGCCACTCTTGGCATCCCTCTGGGATGCAGCGGCTACGGGATGGGCTTAGGAAGTACTGATCGTCCCTGCAACCTGTGCGACTTCAGGCCACGCGAGTTCAGGCCCCGTGAGTTCAGGCCCCGCGAGTTCAGGCCCCGCGATGACCCATTCTCCGACTCCGTGCCTTAGAGCTGGCAGCAACGGCCGCACTTGGAGGTGCTGAGTGTTGATTCACTAATCAATGCTGTTGATACTTCGCGTCATGGTTCTCATGAAAAACAATACCGTGAAAAACCAGAATCCACCGAGCTCTGAGGGCTGGGGCGTTTAAATCTAAGGACAGAGGGTCAGGGATGAGTGCCCTCACCCCCCTTCCACCTTCCCCAGTAGAAACAATTGTCGCTACCTTCTGCCTGCACACCTTTCTTCCGGCACTTCCTGAAACTACATGGATGCACCAGCCACGCTTCTGGCGCTTCCTCCTGCCCTTGCAAAGTCCCGCATGCCAAGCTCACGTACGTCTCGAACAAGCCAGGTTCCTGCTTCGCCCCGCACGAGCATCAACCCACCCCTCGCCCCCAAGGCAGCACACACAGTAGCAATTAACTTAGTAATTGTTGACAGTCATGTCGCTCCTATACATCTACTGCTGCTGCTGCTGCTACTGCTACTGCTACTGCTACTGCCACTGCTACTGTGGCTGCCAAGCCACAGCTTATGCTAGTGCTACTGGATACTGCCACTGCTACCTCTACCGCTAATTACTTCCGCCTCTTCTTGTCCTCTTCCAAGCGCCTTCACGTAAAAACCAACTTGTAATCACTTGGAACTCTGTTATAGTCCCAGCTTTTGCACGTTTAACTAGAATATACCTGTTGCTGTTGATGTGATTGTTGCTGCTATGCTGTCGCACTAATTGTCTGATTGTTTCTTACCGTGATGGATGATGTCCGTTTCAGGCATTCGCGTTCCTACAGGCCTTCTCCAACATTTCTGTACCTCTTTTTTCAGGTTTTCCTGCGAGAAACTGATTCTTCCTGTTGCGTTCCCCGCTGTTTTCATTGCGGGTAGTTGCTATTGCAGTCAAATTCAAGCATACGTTGGATACCAAAACTCCTGCATGACCCTAACTACCGCATGCCTTAGGAATTCTGGTATTATGCTTTACCAAGGACATGCAGGATTCTCTCGCAATAACAGTACACTCAGCATATGTCCATGCACACCCTGGGGTGAAACCAAAGAACAGAAATCAGACAAGATGCAGAATGGCAAATCTGACAGCTTCTCATCATTTGACTCCGTCATCAAATTCAAGGCTTGAGCATACCTGCAATCATGATGAAAGGGCTACTTCCTTCACAGCTTTCGGGAAAAAATTGCAATAGGTTGGGGTGTGCGCTTCTTATACCGTAGATCAGAACATTTTGTAAAAACTAGAAAGGATACCCTAAGGTCCAAACCACAAGCATGAGGTTGCGCATAAGTAGTGGGTGATGTGGTTGATGTTTGTTACTGTTGTTGTTGAACGTCTTGAACCTGAACCTTTTCAGAATCCCTGGCTTCTTCGCAAAGCTGACGACACACTCGATCACATTCGGCTGCTCCTTTAACGTCTCCATGAGGCTGCAGGTAGGCAACGCCAACCTGAATTTACGAATTCTTTTGACATGCATAGAACTAAGACCATTAGTTTGGGGGCTCTAGAAATCAAACGCACGGGGAAGTGTCCCTGCAACCCTGGTAAGAGCCAAGAGTTTGAGGAGAGATCGTTACCGACATTTTTTGAAGCGACTTTTTTGAGGCTTGGGCTGCGACTGCCAGAATGCACATCTAGAGGTCGCCAAACTTTGAAGGCATCCTGATGAAGATCCCTACAATAGGGATCATAGAATGCTTCGGGAAGCATAGATTGAATTATAGAAGAACCCTAACCTTTGCAGGCAGTTCGGGTGAAACTGTTGGAATGCCTGGGCTAAGCTAATAGAAGTCGGGACCAATTCTCCATTACTTGAGCTATTGGAGCTTCTTGAATTCGTGGAATTAACTTATTTCAGGGGAAACTCCTGACTTAGACGCAACTCCTGGTTTTCGGGGCTTCAGCCCCATGATTCAAATGCCAGATACCAAGTACCCATTCCAGTCTTCAATGTATGTAACTATATTGAAGTAACTTCAATTTCTCTGGTCAGGAGGAAAATCGTGGCTTGAAGGGTAACTTTCTTTCTCGGATTTCAACCCAACTAAACTTGTCTGATTCGTTTAGACTGTTTTCAAAAAAGAACTAGCACCCGATTCTGTCGTCCAGGCCTATGTAAACTATTATGGTTCAGCAGACAGGAATTACCCTGAGAGACAGCATCTTGACCTGCCTACATCAAATAAACTGAGGTGCTCCAGTAGATCTAGACAAACAATAGAAATGGTTGGAAATGATTGTTCATTAGGCGGGCCCCCCACCCTGTAATAGTGGTATAAGACGAATATAAGGGGACCCCAATATAATCCTTATTATCGCTTGTAGCCGCTATTACTGGGGGTGGGGTCCACCTAAGTCATTCAATTTGAAGTATTCAAACCCCATGGCTTGTTTCAAATAGTTGCAGCCAGTGGCCCCTGTTTCAAGCATGCTGACTGGCCCATTTGAATTCTTGGAAGCATTTAGCCAGGCATACTAGTAGGAAAATCCTGGATTGAGGTGTGACTTGTTACTTCGGACTGTATATATTGTAAATGATGGAAGTGATGCATAACTTCTCAGCGATTGGCTAGCAAACTTCAATATACTAATTACTAATGGCTACTGCTGGAAGGGCCCTGCACCTTAGATGTGCCCCTGTGTTCTACACGTTCTGCAAGCAGCAATCCCTCAGAGAGCTCTACATTTCTCCCGTGAATTGGAGATGAACCGTGCTGTACAAGAAAACCATCAGCTTTTTGAAGTTAAATGCGCTGGTTCACTCTATTTGTATACTGATATTCAAAAATCTGTGCTTAAGGCATGCATCATTCGTAATTTCTATCAGCATCAACACAAACACCTGCAAGGAGATGGAGCTTTCAATCCTCTCAAGCCAGTGGACTTCTCTTGTGTGTTTGCTTGGGGAGAAAGGGGTTCTGAAATCCCCAAATCCCAAACAGGCATTGTCCTAATCGCGAAGCCAAATTGTACGTCAAGCATTGTCGAGACTGCTAGGCCTTGGGGGGATCCTTAAAACTAAGAATAAAGATTCTCACAAGCGCTCCCCTACTCATCGCAGAATTCAGAACACACCCCCTAATTCATTGTTGGAGTGATCGCCTGACTCCTTGCAAGTACTCTCACCCCGGTCTACAGTAGCCTTCTTGGGTTTCAGGTTTTCAGATTCATAATTCGTGACTAGGGATGGTTTTACTGATAGGGGAGAGGAGAATTGAGCAAAAGGGCATTTTTGTTTCATTCACAAATGAGTCAGCAAGGATTGCCAAAGATGTCTGAAAACGCAGATGCAGTGCTGTGCTGTCAGACATTTCAGATGAAATATGGAAATCTGAAAACCTAAGCAAAAGACAAGTGCTGCCAGCCGTGATTCCAAACACAATGTGTATTACAGGCAAGGTAATCGGATTTTAAGTCGTGAAAGCAAAAGACTACAGTAAGACCAAGTGAACCAAAGCCAAAAAACAATACCCCCCAGGCACACCAAAACAAAAAAAACAGAGCTGGTTGCCAAAATCGAGAAACACTCGTCATACTGGCATGTTGGCAAGGCTTGGTCTTCTTGTGTTTTTTGGATGTTGGTGTTTGGAAGATTTCCCGAAACCCTTTCCTCCCTACATGCCCTCATCAAGAATACCCTTCTTCTTAAAAGCATACCTGAGCAGGAAAGCGTCAGTACTGAACCACCCTCAAACCGAGTCAAGTCATGAGCTTATCCCAAAATAATGGGAAAACCTCTGAACTTTTCTTGAATCCTTGTCACAGTCCCCACCATAAGCTCCGCAGTACTCACAAATCATCAGGCATTCGCCCCAAACCCCGTAAGCTCTACAAACCAAACCTAGCTAGTCCAGAAACACCCAGCCGTCAGCTATTACTTGCAGCCGCCCGCGATGGCTCCAGCCTCCAGGGACCAGACTGCACCGGTCATAGTTTCACGGTGTACGGAGTCTACAATGTAGCGCTAAAGTATCTAAAAACCTCTCAAAACATCCCTGTCGAGGCAAAATACGGAATCTTTCAAAAATCCGTGAACTTGGAGTGTTGCCCTCATCGCAATTGGGTTGATTCCACGGCATCCTATGTACACATGCGTATGTATATTTGTACATATATACAAATATATATATATACACACACACGCATATATATATATATACATATATACTCCTCCATTCATGGTGTGGTATAACTGTAGACTACCTGTAGGCTTTCTTGAAAGTACCGGGCTCTTGGGGGATCCAACCTGTAACCCACAGCGCATGCTCGCTGATGAAGTCCCCGCTGCCAAGGCGAACGATGTTCTCCTGAACCAAAAGTTCAGGTCCGACATTCACCAAACTCAAACACCTCCTTGCTAAGAGACCTGCATGACAAACGGAAACTGAATGGTCATTTTTCAGAATATTCAGAGCATTGTCCTCGAGTTCATCCACCGGCTTGCTGAGCAAGCGCCACAAGCAACACCTCAAGGGTCAGAATTCATCATGCCCTCACCACGTCCTTCCAGCTGAGACTAGGGCCTGCTCCCAATAAATCAACCCAAGCTTTCAATCCTTCATTGCTACCAGTTTAAGTCCCCGAGCTTAATGTCGCTGCTTCAAGTACTCCCCAGCATGGCAAAAGGACGTCCGGGCCAGGGATATTCCGATCGATTATCGTAAGGGCTTACGAAGACTTACCTTTCCGGGCTCCCATGCCGAAACCTCTGCAATCCGGAAAAGCAAAGTGTTCCTTCTTGGGAACTTCCCACCGTGTACCAGGATTGGATGCCGGATTTGTGCCAAACCGCGGCATGATTGGCATTGTGTCGAACTCGTAGGAACACTGCGCCTTGAACAATATATGCTACACTTTTTATGGTGATTATTCCAGGGAGGCCATGCAGTAAGAAAGGAAGAGTATTCAAAAAAAACTCAAATACAACTCAGGTGCCGTGGCCATCAGGTACATTCCTTCCGCATGGTCTGATGCCATGAAGATACTGTCGTACTTCATGTTGTATTGCTCCTTCATGGCCTTGTTGCAGATATTGAACTCCAAAACGTCCGACTTCGCACACCAAGCTGCAAAGTCTTTGTGGTAGTGCAAGAACGATCTGCGAGCTTGGTGGAGGAGGGTCTTCAGCATGCTGCTGGAGAATGTTTGAAGCAGATTCGTGTGAGCCTCATAAGCTGCCTTACGGGCCAGCTCTCGTTCCGCGTATCTCTTCATGCTCAGGATTTGCGACACATCGATCCCATGGGACGTGCAGTACTCCCGCAAAGATTGCATAGTCTGCTGCTTCTGCTGTCTGGTACTTTGCCATCTTGCCATGACGTTCGTCACCTTGCTCACGCAAACCGATGACATTCCCAACGCAAAGAAGGTGGCTATGATGGCCAAAGTTCGTTCGCCATCTGGGATGCTTTTTCAGACTGGGGAGCTTCTGCGTGCTTTTTGGGGCAGCCTTGACTTGCAATATTGGCCTGACTCACATCAGATCCTGGCAGAAGTTAAATTGAGTTGACTCCTTTCCTGGTGGTTAGGCAATATTATCAAAGCCAGCCTGCTTCCTTCACAATACGCGGGATCGTAACCAAACGTGCAGTCTACCCAGAATCCGAAACTCCAAACCACATGAGCAGCGGCCTGTCTGAAGTGACATGTTCCACCTCATCGATGATGCTGGCAGCCTCGACAAAGAGATGGTCAAAGATGCAAAATATCTGGAGGACAAGGACAATGCACTCCTCGGCTGTGCAATACGTGGTTGTTTTGCAGGCGGCAGGCCTCCAAATGGCCCCTCAATTTTCGATGCTCCGTCACATGACAAAGGCCGGTGCTTTTTTAGTCATACATACAAGAGTTTACAGATTGGGGACTAGGGCATTGATGCAACAAAGCAACAAAGCTTGCACTAGTGACCGTGCTCTCCGTGGACTCCACACTGCAACGTGGAATATTGCTGTGACCGAACCAAGCCAACACCAGCTTCAGCCAGCAACGCCCCTTACAGTTCCTCATGTGCTACTCCTCAGTTTCCCAGCACTGCATGACCGAGATGCAGGTCCTCCTCCTGCACCCAGCCATTCGGGACGTTTCCGGCCCAGTACCACAAGCATGCGAGCAAATGCCTTGTTTTGAGGGAAGGGGGTTCACTTGTGACTTCTCCCGGGGTTCACTTGTGACTTCTCGAGAGGAGGCTCACTTGTGACTTCTCTCGGGGTT